TTAATAAATAAAAGTTCTTTACAACAAAAAAGTTTAACGAACATATTATATACAAAATTTGGTCGTGAGATTCAAATATTGTAACACAAAAATTATTGTGACAAATTTTTTTTTTAGATTAATAGTAATAATAGACTCCCTTTTTAAAGCCGAATTGAATGGTGGTGGTGGGTTTTTTAAAATCCAATGTGTGGATTTCAAAATTTTTAACTTTTGAATATAGATGATCCGCACTGTATTATTAATATTAATATTAATAATATATAACAATAATTCGAATAAAATTAAGTCAGCTGCGAATGGCTGAGCGCGTTTGGCTGACTTATCGAGAGAACCAACTTTATCGAGACCGTCTTAAAGATAAAATATTAAAAAAAATTTTTTTTATTCTAAATAAGTAAATTATAAATAGTTTTTTATTCTAAATAATTATTTATATTAATCTTTTTATTAGAATTTCAGAAGTTTGGAAAATCAACCAACCTTTTCATACTATTTCCTAACACAAATAAAATATAATAAAAATAAATAAATGTATTTTTCACAATACAAATAAGAATATTCTTTCTAAATTATCAGACAATAAATTATACAATCAATGAAATAATAATATATCGCGACAAGGATTTCTAAATCATCAGGTATAACATATGATATACATTACTAAAAGTAGTAATGATGATCTTTTATTTAATGAAAATGTCACGTGAGGCCGACTTATCGAGAACAATTTACTTATCTTAAAAAGAGGGGTTTGCTGACTTACAACTTATCGTGACTTTATATAGGTTGGCTGACTTATCAAGGGATTTTAAATAGGGAAAAAAAGGGCTGAAAAATTTTGGTTGTTAATAATTCGAATTATTATTATTTAAAGAAGATGGCGTCGACGGTGTTAATGGTGTCAATGGTGTTGTGGATGTTGTGGGTGTTTGTACCAAATTAAATTTAAATAATGGATCAAAATTATTGTCATTGTTTGCTTCCGATTTAAGACGCAATTGGTGAGCAGCAATTGCATCGTTTAATTGAATTTGTTGTATTTCAAGTAATTTGCGTTCTTCTTCTAACAATAATTGTTGAGCAAAAAATTCTTTATCATCCAAAAACCAGTGATGATGTTGATGATAACTTGATTTTGTCGAAGGGTAGTAAGGCGACAAACTCGGAGAAAATGAGGAGGATGAGGAATGAATTGAAGACGGGGTAAGTGGTGGATATCCTTGACCACTGGATAATGAATCCCAATCTGAATCTATTTTTATAATTAAATTAATATTATTGAATAATAAAGATATTTATTCCTAAGGAAAAAGATATAATATAATATAATTACCATGTCTATTATTATTAAATTTATAATCAAATTCTTTTAAAGAAGATTTTAAACCAAATGCATCATCAAAGCTCAATTCATCAAATACATCATAACTAACATATGGAGTTGATGACAAAGGATTCAGTTTAACATTTCTGTTTGTTGTTGTTGGATAATATGAATTGTTGCTGATTCCGTTAAGATTTAATTTTGGAATTGAAGAATTGTTACGTTTGTGTTTTGCTTGATTATGATAATTATGATATTTTAATGATGATTGGTAAGTATAAGATTTTTGATGTGTGAAATATGAATTTTCAATTTCTAAGTTCATTGGGTAAATTTATGATTCGTGAGTATTATGAATGTTATGAATATTATAAATATCACTTTATTGCATCTAAATAAACAGAATAAATATTTACCAGATATTCTTCTATTATTTAATAAAGATAAAGAATTTGTCTTTGCGTGCGAATTATAATAACGATTATTGTTATTTGATTTAGCATTTTCTAACAATTTTGCGGCAATTAAAATTTCTATCAAACCAGAATAAATAAGTTTAATTTGTGAAATATGAAGAATGAAAAAGAATAATCTGAATTAAATTAATGAAGTTACCATCAAATTGTAATTTGAATGCGATTGATTCTTCTTCATTGGCTTTCATTTGGATGTCCTCAAGCTTGTTATTATCTTCAATTCCAATCTTTTTGTTATCATCATCATTGTTGGTTTTTTCGTCATTGTTAGGAATATTCGTACTGCGAGAAGTATCGTCAACAAGTTTTAATCCTTGATTTTCTTCCATACTTTCCATTTCGTTAATATAATAATAAATGGATTATTTTTCATTAATAGAAACGAGCTTGAGGGATAGTTTATAGATGTTGTGAATTGATAATATAAATGAATACGTTCGTTATTGGTTCTATTAATTATTTT